TTCCGAAATATAGGGGGTGAGGACAGACTTTATAAACACCCTGTATAATTTAGTAATGTTTAGATAATTAATTAAAACTAACATAGCCGGTTAATCATTGTTTATTTCGACGTACAAACGTCAAACTAATGCTATAAAATATTAAAAAATATTGAAACGATATACACGGAAGTTAGAATTGGAATATTCTAACAAGCACGTAATAACGCGAGGAATAAAATTGGATAAATTTTGCCAATAAGCTTGCGTATGCGGAATAAGCTGCTTTCGTCATACAACATCCACATTACATCTACTGCTAACTACTTCTCGTTACAAGCAGCGCTGCATATTTTATATACGCATTTGCGCTTCGGACTACTCGGTTTTCGTAGCGAGCGAAAATTAACCAGTTCATGTAGATTACAGGAAATACATATTAACGAAATTTTGTGTAACTTTGTACGGAAATGACTTAAAAATTTCTGAATTAAACACATCGTGAATCTTACTTAGCGCTAATGTAGGAAGGGATTATAATATCGCGTATAAAATATAAAAGTGCACTTATAGTTGAATATTAAACATGAGTTAAAATACGTGAGATATTCGAATGTTAGTCTTGTTATCGAGATTACGTTACAAATTTGAATAGATAATCTCTACGTCGAGAAGACGTTTCTCTCGATTTTATTGGACGCTCGTATTCAATCAAACACGTGTCAGGAGGAGGCGAACACCACCGATGAGGATGTTTGCGGAGAAGCGTCTCGTGAAAAGCGAGCTTCGGAAAACCTCGAGATCCTGAAGGATCACAGAGATGACCCGAAGCAATCCGACGTCGACGTAGTGTCGGCGAGACAGTGTGTCGCCGGCGATAAAACCGAAATCGAGATCGAATCGATTCATCGTCACCTTTCCCAAGGTGGGAGTAGCGAGGTACGCTCGCCGAGACACGCGAACAGTATACCGGGAAAACGATCAGTCACATTGAATTTTGCGATCGCGGCGATTGCATCGTAAAATTTTACAGAATGTCCCATTCGCAGTGTCTGAAAAGTGAACTTTCATTTTGACAAGTCACTTTTTTCTAACGTCAGTTGCATGAAAAAAAAACGTGTAGCTTTCCAATATTTCTAATACTAGAATATATTGAAAATAATAAAATATATTGAAAAAAAAAAATCATGACTTTTTCGAGCATTTTAAAAATTATTTATTTATTTTGTTCAGCCATTTACTTATTATAGAGAGAGAGAGAGAGAGAGAGAGAGAGAGAGAAAGAATTTAATGATTTTATTTAGGGTGTCTATATATACTTCCTGGAAAAACATGGAAAACCTAGAATTCTCAGGGATTTCTTTTATATCTAGAAAAATCAGAGAATTCTCATGGGATTTTATTGGGACTCGGGTAATTTTTTCAAAAATTCTTTTGATAATTTAACTCTTGTATTGTAAATAGTTGGCGAGCAAATAAATTCTGTTTTTACAATATATTATAAATATATATTTATCTTTGAGTAGACACCCTGATTTACTGTTTTACTCTATATATGAATTTCTAATCGCGAATAAAACAAACGTTGATTTTGACAAGTCACTTTTTTCTAACGTCAGTTGCGTGAAAAAAAAAACGTGTAGCTTTCCAATATTTCTAATACTAGAATATATTGAAAATAATAAAATATATTGAAAAAAAAAAATCATGACTTTTTCGAGCATTTTAAAAATTATTTATTTATTTTGTTCAGCCATTTACTTATTATAGAGAGAGAGAGAAT